ATGGAAAGGATAAATGGTAAATATAAATACCACTGCTTCTCTGGAATTCTGTATATTAACAAAACAATTGCAATCTTTACCTATTTTAGAATATGTTTTAAAACTGACTTCAAATTGTATTCAGTAGTTTAACATCTCAGTTGGTCTTCAACAGACCAAGTAAACAAAAGGATAAAGTTTCCTGATATTTGGGGGACCAGAAATTGTTTTAATAACCAAGATTTTTAAAAAATCTATGTGTCTTATCCCTACGAAATAAAGTAAAGCCAGGTGAGAATGTCACAGTGATCAATCAATCAGTCAGAAAATCCTCAGATGGAAACTGTAGCTACACCTCAAGGAACTCCAGGAATACAATCAAACCCAAGTTAGTAGGAGAGAAAAATAATAACTACTAGAGCAGAAAGAAAACAGACTAAAAATACACAAGATCAATGAAACAGCACTATGGTCTTTGTAAATATGTACAAAACTGACAAAAAATCCTCTAATTTGCATTCCTATATATTTTTGTATATTTATACATTTTTTTTACTTTCACCTACGCACTGAGGGCATGGCAGTGTGAGTCACAAGTAGGAGATTCACCCTCTGGACCTGCCACTCTACCTCTGAGAGCCCAGCGACTGACTGGCAGAGTGACGCCTGTCATTATTCATCGGAAACAACACATCTGTTCAACTCAAACCTCAGAGAGCAGAGATTTATTACACATTAGAAATTACTTCAAACATTGCAGATTAATGAGGCATGAGAGATTACTTCAGACTGCCATGATCTCGGGAGTTTGGTAAGCATTAACAAGCTTTTCAGTCAATGTTGAAAGGTTAGCAGGGCTGCAGCAGGCCTTACTTATGGAAGGACTTGGTTCACTTGGATCTACCTCAGTTCTGGGCCTGCCCTTTTACTGTGAGAGAAGATTCGAAAGACGTTTCAGGGTTACTGCTCATGACCCTTATTTCAAGGATATCTGAAAACTCTCCAGCCAGCCACCATCAGGATTAGTTTCTGAAATGAATTTCTGCGTGGTTATCTGAAAGCTCGGAGACTAAAGGTCACCTGTCTATCCCTCAGTGACTTGCCTTAAGCACTTATTACACACCAGAGTGCCCTAGTCAGCCACTACTGTGAGTATCAGATACATGCACAAAAGGAGACAAGACAGATGAGGAAATATAAAAACAGTATTCCTGCATCAGATGCCAAGTATTCAGGCAGCTAGACTACAGAAGAAAGGCCAGGGCTCTTGGCACATCCATGGAGTCCCACTAGCGAGGCACAGTGTGAGACCTTTGCAGTTGGACTCTCACTTCTGCTGTGAATCCAAGCACACTGCATTTTGCTCTGTGCTGCTTCTAGAAGAAGCCTCATGAAATTATTCATGGGCCCCCAACTCTGCCTGAAAAACACCTCTTTTCTGTTTTCTCTCTGGACAAATCCCCCTCCAAGGCTCACTCGCTTTCTCTTCTGGAGTGTTCCCTAACCTCCTTTGGCCCCAGAGTAAAGTCTGTTGCAGACCCTTCCGTGGTTCCATAGCCTGTGTGTGGACGGCCACTCCTCATCTCCCTTCAATAACCCATTGTTCATATCTATTCTCCCTGTGCCATGGAGCCTGGCAAGGTACTCAGGAAGCACCATTTTAATGGATGTATGGATAAATTAACTGGAGAAGACATTTATAACGAGAGATGGCGAGACATCTAGTGAAAATGGATTTAAACTTTGAAAGACCTTCTAAGTGAAAAACTTAAAGGAAGGGAGGAGGAAGGGAAAGGGAAAGGAAAATTAGCAACAGAGCTTATGTGGATTAAGCAAAAACATTGGAGCTTAAAAAAAAAAAAAAAAGAAAGATCCAGAAATGAAGTCCTCCTTAACCTACCTTTCTGAGAGATTTGCTGTATCCATTATCTCTGGGTCTCCAACAGTCTTTCTAGGCATGTAGCATGTTGTCAAACATACTTACAATTTGTATTCTCCATGACCATACAGAAGAGGGTCCCAGCTCTAAGTAAGCCACACATATCTATTCTGAGCTTGGCAATGGTCACATAACAATAAACTAGATAGGCATTAGTTTTGCCTCCTATGGATTCTATGGAAGAGTAAACAAAAGAGAAAGTGCAAGTTAGGTTTCAGGAAATGATTGATAATGGATGAAAGGCACAACCACAACACTGCCATGGATGTTTTCAACAGAGGCATGATGGGATGAATGCAATCAGGGGCAATTAAGCTGGCAGCAGGACAGATGGAAAGGGTGAGCTGGAGAAAGAGATACAGACCACAGCAAGGTCACTCACACACCAGAGCTAAAACCAGCAATCAATTTAAAGTAAAATTTCTCAGCCTGTGGCCTGTGAATCCCATTGGAGAGTGCAGAGATAAACATCAGGAGTTTTTAGACCTCAAGTTCATTCCTTATGAGTTTTTGTGTTTGTGGTTTGTTTGTCTCACAGTAAATTTCACAGTCTTCATCCCCCTCCCTGTAGAGCATGGAGCAACGCGTTTTCAAATCATTGTGAAAGGCAATTTTATCTGACAGCTTGGCTGAACTAAGAGATGCTCATACGGCTGCTGGCGACTATCTCTAGGCGTGCCTGCCTGCGGTGGTCAGCACTTGAACCAGTGAGGCAAACCAAGAAAAGCCACTGACCAGCGTCTCACAAAGGGCTAACGATCTGAACAGAACAAAGAGATAGTGAAGAGATACATTCACTTTCTAGTTGAGCTACAACATTCATTGTCTGCCTTGGACACCAGTACTCACAATTCTCAGCCCTTTTCACTGATTGGGACTTAGATTACAGACCATGGAACTCCCCCAACCCCCCCTCCATAACTGTGTGACCTGTCCTACATGAATTCCTCTATATCTGCTGACTGTGAGTCTTGTTTCCCTGGAGACCGTTTACTAAGATATCCACTAAATTCAGAGTTAGTAACACTGTGCTCAAACATCATCTCACAAGTTTTGAAACTTGAGAAAGTTACTTACCTCTCAGAGATAATAGGACTTTTTTCTATATGGGTCCATAGGGTATAAAAATCAACACTCTAAAGAAGGAATGGGCAGGGTTTTGTGCCTGGCTGATGATGAGGGGGAGTAAAGACAAGGACCAGAATTACAAGGGCCACTTGACTTCTAACACAGAAGGCAGAACAAGCAAAGCTTTTCAATAGGCTATGAAGGGCCCAGCTGGAGTCCCTCTCTCTGCATTGCCTGTCTGAGAAGGAGGCTAAGAGACATCAGATCAGAGATTTACCTTAGGAGTTTGGGGTCATTTATATCACTTCATGGATTATTAAAATGCTGACTCCTATTTCCATCTGTCTGTCATTAAAGGCAGATGTTCGTGGGGTATGGACAAAAAGAGGGATTGGAAAAAAGCTTAGATGCAGGACAGGGCTGGGCAAGGGCTTCTAAGGGAGCCCCAGACTCTAACCACACATTGCACTTGGCTGGAAGTGTGGCTGGAGGAGGGAGCTCAGCTGGGACCTCCAGACCTGAGGGACACAGAGCAAAACTCATGGCTTCAGAGGCGTCCTGGGAAGTTTCACAGAAGTTGTCAACAACCACGTTACTTAAACATGTGCACATCGTATTGTGTTGTTTTATGACACTTAAACTTTGTGGCTGTCAAATAATGTCTATTAGTTCCTAGCATAATAACTAACTGACCTACTTAAGACTCTTGTTACACTAACAATTTCTTCCCACAGGTCCCCATGATTGTCATTGTCCCACTTCAGCAGGAAGTAAATTTGAGAATTCCACGTCCCTTCTCCCTACTATTGACATTAGAGGATAGTTTACACCTGTTAGTGTTAATTTGCAGTTATTTTAGGGTTCGGATTGGAAGGAGGTGTTCAGACTTAGGCATCCCTTTCAGATAAGTTTAGAATTTAGGTGGAATGGATATGTTTAGTTTAGGATAAGTAGATTATAACTTAATTATCACCCTCTACGTATATATGTTGTATATGTTTGAGTTTGTATCAAATTTAAATCTTCTATTTAGACTAAAAGGGGAATTGTAGGAGTGAACCCCACAAAGCTATCCGCCCATGAGGGCGGGGACATGTAAACTGACACAGGTAGATATAAAAGGAAGTGAAAGGAAAAGGACCTCCCCTTTTTTTCTCCTGGAAGCCAGCCATGCTTCTAACTCCTGGTCTGTGCGACTTTCTCTCTCTCTCTCTGGTAAATAAATATATTGTTTTCCATATATAGCATCAAATATCGTTATAGAGTACACAAAATAATGGGTTTCTTTATGACATACTTATATATATTATATATATAATATATATAAAACATATGATTCGGTGTTTTTTAATGCAGACCCTACAAAACATGGATGTGACCTGGTCTTTCTCAGTAGAGATCTGCTAAGCCTCTGTGACAACTGCAGGACAGAGGACATCGAGGTCTGAGAACACAAACTCCTCCACAAAGTTCAGCAGAATTACCCTTTTAGTCAAACCTTAAAACTTAAAAAAAAATCATAGGTATTTCCACATATGACAAGACAAGTATTTGATTATTTTCAGTAAGACTGGTCAAGGTTCCATTTGAGAATCTCATTTCCCTGAGAATTTGGGGAAATGAAACGACTCTAAAACACATTTTTCTGTTGATATTCTCAAGCCCTCTGGTAGCTGTGGTATTAAGATTTGTCAACAGCAGATAAATTCTGGATGAGCCAACAAATGCTGCTTTTAAGTCAAGTGTGGTGACACAGAATCATGAAGGCTGGGTAGCTGGTCTAATGTCACAGGCCAGTGAGTGTGGGAGTCTGAAGCTGATTTTCCATCTGTGCTACTCCAGAGCCCACATGCCCTTCACCCCTAACCTGTGTGTGGCTGGCTTCACTCTACTCCGTTCTGTTTCTTCTCCGTGACGGACTAGTGACTGTCAAATCCTCCCTCCCCCAACCCCTCTCTCTCCAGAGTGTCTTCCCTGTGACAGGTCTACCTCAAGAGGACAGGGGAGGCAGAAATACAAGTCCATAAAAAGCTTCGCTTAGAAACATAGGAAGAGTAAGAAACGGGCTGTCACCAGGCCTAAGACAAGGTCACTGGTTCCACTCCATGACCCTGAAGAGCATTCAACTCCCGGCGGGCGGCAAGCGGGTCACGCAGTATGGCATAGCATCAAAAGCAACAGGTGAGCATGCTTTTGGTTCTCGCTCACTAAGCAAATGGAGCACAATGTATTAGTTAACGTTTCCTCCTGTGGACAAGCAGCAGCTAGAGAGAAGGGGCTCGCCGTGGCTCACAGCTGGAGCAGATGATAGCAGATGCAGGCCGTGGAACGGAAGGCCAGAAAGCGTGGGGCCGCAACAGTCAGAAGCAAAGAGCAGACAGGAAATTGACCGAGCTATCAAACCTCAAGGCCCACCCCGGAGACCCACTTCCTCTGCCTCGGCTCGGGGTTCTAGAGTTCCACAACACCCCAGAGCTCCACCCGCAGCTAGAGCCAGACCAAGTATTCAAACACATGATCGGGGAGGGGGTGCGTTTCGTGTTTAAACCTCAGCAGAAGAAACAGAATGCGAAATGAACTTCGGCGACACAGAGCCATCCCTGGCAGTATCCTGCGCCCCAGCAGCGCCTGCAGCGCTCTGTGACTAATGAAAGCCGCCACAGGAACCTCGGGAGGCTTTAGAGCTAACTCAGCCGCGAGCAGACACCCGCGAAAGCTTACATGAAGCCGTATGCAATAACAAGTCTGAGAGGCTCGCCAGTTTCCAAACCTTCGGAACCAACCATCTCCCAGAACCAAACTGGGTCGTTTCTGGGTGAAGTTCTGGCTGGAACGGAGAGCATTTCAGAAACGTCACTTAGAATGACAAATACCTTTCATTTCACTGAGAGGGAATGTTCCGTCACTCCAGGTAAACAATGCCTGCTTCCTTTAATTATAAAAAGGACTTTGTTCCATGAAGAGCTTTTCCGTTTCATCTCAGCTGCCAAGAAACTCCCAGAACCATTTGTGTGTCTACAGTTTTTAAAATAGTTTTATTATCTTTTAAAATATAAACTCGTTAACACATCTACAGTATTATAAGCTGTTCTAGGATACTTTTGGAATGTTGGGTTAAATCATCTGAAATCCTTGTAATTTTTTTGAGACCTTGGCTGTGTAGACCAGGCTGGCCTCAGACTCAGAGACCCACCTGTCTCTGCCTGCTGAGTACCAGGATTAAAGGTGGGCACCACTACGCCTGCCTGTTAAAATTGTTTTTCATCTGCAAAATGGGCAATAGTTCTAAATAGCTCAGTTTATAAGTCAGAATTCAGGGCAGGATGAGTTTATGTGCCTGAGGAACATTCCCAAAGGGCGCACGGCAGGGTTTTAACTGGCAGACCCTCAGGGCTTTCTGCCCCCTGCTCCTGCTGCTCCCTAACTGCTCAGTGACAGTGACAAGGCTGCTTCCCCCAGCCCCTCCAGAGGATCTGCCTCACTGCACCGCGCTTATTACCTCTCTGGGTTCTATAGGCAAACCTCCAGTCTCGTTTTTTTCTTTCTCCCTACTGTCCCCGCATGCAGAGGGTTTGGTAAGCGCCTGCCCAATGGCAGGAACCAATGCTCCCGAGTCTGACTTCACTGACTCAGAGCATATAATTCGTGCACAGCTTTTTCTACTTTGCCTCTGGTCTCTGGTTTTTCTAGAAAATAATTGAGTAGAGTTTCCTAATGACTTCTCAGATTTCACCTCTATTAATGCTGTGGCCTTTGAACGACGTCTTCTCTTCTTATGCTCTGTTCAGGTGGCATTTACATTTCATCTGATTTTATTCCGACCTGGCGGTAGCTTTTTTAGCATTACATGACGACAGTCCTAAGGTCATTCTTGGGTGCTTTCCAAATGTCTTAAATTAAGTGAAGGTTATGTTCAAAGGATGTCCTTGGCTCCTGTCTTTTCTGGCTTGAAACTGTGTCTCTTAATGAACCGACTGTCTACCTGATTCTGCGGCAGAGAGCCGTAAGGTCAGTTTACCCCAGACTCTCCCTTTGTGCCTTATGGCCAATAGCATTTACATTGCTTTAAGACAGTCTGTTTTGGGTTCTAAAAGCAAGTTGGGCTTGACAGGTAACAGTCCCTGTCTCCCACATGGAGACAGTAAGTGGGGTAAAGTTAACACTTCTCAAAATCAAATCTGTATGCAAACCACGAGATGGATTTTGAAATGGAAGTCGTGGTTTAGGTGGCCTAAAGTGGTACCTGAGGTTCTCTGTGCTACCAAGATATTCCTGATGCTGTTGGTGCTGGCCCACGGTTACAGTAGCAAGGATGTAAGCTCTCTGTAGACCTCTGGGTTCTCTTAAGGGAGCCGTCTGGGTCTGACGAGGGTTCATCACTAGCAAAGGCAAAAATTCCAGCCCGATGGCCCTGCACCAAGTCCCAAGTCCCCGCCCTTGGTTAGTGACATCTTCCAATGGTTCTCTATCCCCTTTTATCCTTTCATATGGGCTCTGCCCTCAAGGTCCTCACCCCAGGGTCCTCACTGTGGCTTTCCCACCAGTGGCAAGTCATGGATTCAACAAACTGGATTTCTCACTTAAATTGTCTGGTATAAGCTAATTAAAACAGCCAAACTCCATCAATAATGTGGCAATGGACAATATGGTTTAGTGTGTTGATTTATGCCTAGAAGAAAAAGCCCTTAGTTTGTATTCTTCCTCTGCTGTTCAACAGCTATTGATCTTGTTAAATCGATTAGTGTCAATGGGAGCTGAATAAATGCCCCCAATGATGTATAAATCCTTATGTCTAAATCTGGAAATGTCACCTCTTATAGAGCAATGGACTCGAGATCAACTTGGGTTTTATGTGTGATCCACTGTAATCTTGGGGATCCTTACTAGAGGCAACACTGGTGAAGAAATTGGAATGAAGAAGCCACAAGTCAGGTCAATCTCTAGACGCTACATGAACCAAGAATGGATTCCCACTTTCAGGATCCAGAGGAATCAGCCACACCAATGCCTCCATGAGGATAATACGTGGGAGGCACTGGAGAAAGGAAAGGGAGAAGGGGGAAATTATATGCATTAGTCGGGGGTCTCTAGAAGAACATATATATATATAGAGAGAGAGAGAGTGTGTGTGTGTGTGTGTGTGTGAGAGTGTGTGTGTGTGAGACAGAGAGAGAGGAGAGAGAGAGACAGAGAGAGAGAGACAGAGAGACAGAGAGAGAGGAGAGAGAGGAGAAAGGAGAGAGGGGAGAAAGAAAGAGAGTGTGTATGTGTGTGTGTATGTGTGTGTGTGTGTGAGAGAGAGAGAGTGAGAGAGGAAGTGAGAGAGAGAGAGAGGAGAGAGGGGAAAGAGAGGGGGGGGAGATTTACTAGAGTGTCTTACAGGCTGTGGTCTCAACTGGTCTTCAGTATATGCCAGACTCCTGAAGAAGCTGGCTCTAATGCCAGTGAAGGAATTACCTTGCCAGTGAGGGCAAGAGCAAGCAGGCAAAGAGTAAAAGCTTCCTTCTTCCATGTCCTTTATGCAGGCTGGAAGCAGAAGCGTGGCCCCCATTAAAGGGGGATCTTCCCACCTTGAAAAATAAGTGTTAAAGATGGACTTTCCTACTCCAAAAGACTTAATTAAGAAAATCCCTCACAGATGTATCCAGTCACTTATGTTTTAGTTAATCCAGATGTAGTCAAGTTGACACCCAAGTATAGCCACCATCTTATGTAATTATATTTTAATTTTTTTCTTTTGGTTTTTTTCGAGACAGGGTTTCTCTGTGGCTTTGGAGGCTATCCTGGAACTCGCTCTGTAGACCAGGCTGGCCTCGAACTCACAGAGATCCACCCACATCTGCCTCCCAAGTGCTGTGATTAAAGGCGTGCGCTACCAACGCCCAGCTTAATTTAAATTTAAAAAAGAATTGCAAAACAAGATATGTGGTATGGCTGCTCTGCTGTAAACTCTTCAAAATTTCCCCAATATCCTTAGCTCTAAACTTTAAGTCATTAACCTGGCCCTGAAAGTTCCCATCAGATCTCCTCTATTTCTGAACTTATCTGAGTCCTGCTAGCCGCCCTCAGCCACCGTGCCCCTAACACATTTTTTAAAACCTTTCCCATTTCTTGCATATTTGAGTCTCTTTCTCAGCTCAGGGTTTTTGACGGGTTCCTCTGCCTGAGTTGTGTTTTCTGCCTATTACTCTCTTGTCTAAGCAACAATCTTACTTCGTGTTGTAAATGTTGCCTTCTCAAGGTACCTCCTCTGAGCACAAAGCCTAAGGTAGACCCCTGATTTTTTCTCACAATGCATCAGTAAGGTTGCCCTCATCCTAGTTACTGTAACATGAATTACATATTTCCTTCCTTGTTCATGCCTGTCTCCTCAACGCAGGATGTTGCTTTCAAGGAGACAGGACCATCGCCACACCTGCCGCGTACTTCATCACTGGCTCCCACAAAGTACCTTCAGTAGCTCTCCGAATTTGTTGAATGAATGAATCAATGACAATCCAAGTCAAGCCTCACGCAGTTGTCAGGAAAATGGTGCTGGAGGCACCAGAAAGAAGGGACTTTGGGATCTGGAGGAGCTAAGGACATTTCGCTGGTCCGGAAAGCACTTGTCTGAAACACGAAGGATGTGTGAGAGGTTCCAAGGTCCTGATGAAGCCTGGGGGGAAAATCTTCGTGTTCAAGGTTGACTAGGACAGCAGGAATAGTGTACAGGGACCAGGAAGTCATGGGAGGCTCACACATGGACACCAGTGAGACGCTGGCTTTGTACTGCAACACTGAGACCAGGAAGCAGCTAACGCCACAATCTCCAAATACCTACATGGTGTCTGGGATCCCAACTCATGTGACCTACAGTCAGGATGTGTGTTCCTCTTACCAATGATAAGTTCAAGAATCAATGTGTAACAGAATAGCAGAGATATCTTCATGGCCATTCATTGACCCAGGCGAAGCTGTGTCCTCAAGTGGTCCAGTTACACAGAAAACGCAGAGGCTCCTCCCTGGCCCAGTCGTGTGGTATGCTCTCCGAGCACCTGCTGGAAGTCGTGAGGAAAGATAATCTGAGGCTGTGTGTTGGCAGAGCTAGGACTGGGAGCCTAGCTGGAGCTGGAAGAGGCTTCTTAGGAGATAAACATGGTGGAGACCTTGAGACCTCTTGTGAAGGAAATAAAAAGGCCTTGTTACGTCAGCCTTGTTACGTCAGCCAGCTGGAGTCAGAGCTAGCAGTGGCCTTCTGTATGTCCTCTACACCAGTTCACAGAAAACATGCAGTGACTCCAAGTGAAGGCCACTCGGTGCTCCCCTGGGAGTGAGGTAGAAGTCGAGATTTCCAAGAATCCAATGGCTCCCTCGTATGTTGGAAAAGAGGGAGAGGAAGGGGAGCTCCACAAAGGGAGATGATGGACAGCTGCTCTGAACAATAAGCCCTTCCCTTCCGTGGCGCAGAGCAAGGCTGGAGCTGACAGCACCTGACTTACTTTGAGCTGCTCGATCCGCACACTGCCAAGCTTCACCATGATCCATTATTTCCTTCCCCGAGTCTTTAGCCTATATTTTTATTAATTTATGAGGCTTCTGAGTGTTTTCTAAAGCCTGAAAATGTATTTTCTAGGAAGATAGCAAATCAGAACATGACCTTCTGAACTTCAATTTTAATTACATAATGTCTTTATGGGAAACTGCAGTTTCCAGCCAACAAGGCTCTCTCTGGTTTACTGTTTTGTTTTGGTTCCATCTGTGTGGTGAATTATCTGTGTAATCTGAGTATTTCTGAGAAGCCCAGATACCTTTAGCATCTTAAAGAAATACGGCCATGTTGTGGGCCGTGCTGTGCTGCTCCGAGCCGCCTGTGGCCTCGCAGAGAAAGGAAGGAGGCAGGAGAGATGATTCAGGACCCCTGAGTGCCTCTCCCCTCCCCCTCCACACTTCACTCAGCCTTCCATCATCTTGCTGGGTTACCACAGAGCTGCTGAAGTGGCGGCTTTTAAAATCTCCCGTCTCCCTTCAGCTCTGGCTTATCACCATCTCCACATAAATCTCCACGACGCTCTGCTCCAGTTACACATCTGCCTCTTTCAAGAGCCTTCAGGGACCCTCCACTGCCAGCCGAAATCAATGGCACTGGGACCCTGGCGGCCACGGGCCTTGTCCTGTGACCAAAATACACTTTTCGGACTTTTTCCTGACTCTGCTCCTGCACACTCCCCAGGACTCAATCAAGCAGTTTTTATATTCCCCACCCGCCCCAGCCTGATCTGCGGCCATCTCTTCTCGGAGCTCGGTTTCCTTTCTTGCTAGTCTGCGCTATGTTCAGCCTGTGTTTCCTCCTTTGATCTTCAGGGCGAATCTCCAGGCGAGGAGCTCATGCCCCTCACACCTATTGGGCATACACTGTAGACTGGGCACAGGAGGGAAAGACCAGAGAAACCAAACCTGCCTCGCTGCCGCCAAGGTGTGTCATTCCCAAGAGTTTCCCAGCTTTCATGGGAGTCAGCCAGGAAGAAGCAGCAACACTCACCACACACACACACACACACACACACACACACACACACACACACACACACACACACGTATACAACAGGAGCTCACCTCGGTGAGTACAGGAGAGAGAACATTCCTGTCACTTGTGAACACCACACACACACACAACAGGAACTCACCTCGGTGAGTTCAAGGGAGAGAACATTCCTGTCACTTGTGAACACAGGTGAGGAAGACTCACAGCAAGAGGGACAGCTGCCGCAGGGGACCTTGGTGTAGTGTGCTCGTCTCCACACACAAAGAGAACAAGTTGAGAGGAATGGCCAAGAGAGGGGTGAAGAGAAGACACATCAAGGCTGGGGGGATTCTGGCTAGACCAGCTCTAGAAGATTTCTGAAGGCTGCAGACGGAAATGAAAAGACTTTGGGCACAGTATGTGGAAGCCGTCCATTTGGTATCAGTGGTATTCTAACTAATTAGTCCAGCAAGATTCTGCTACACCTGGACTAACTGGATTTAGAACACAGCCAAAGGTCATGACCTACACAAAACAGGGAATTCAGAGTGTCTGAATTGGGGTAGGAGAGACGGCTCAGGTGTTAGGAGCCCACGCTGCTCCGTTATGAGGACCAGAGTTCAAATCCCAGCACCTGTATCAGGCCATATGCCTGTAACCCCAGCTCAAAGGCGTTCCACACCTCTGCAGGCACAATCGCTCCCACAGACACAAGGAAAACAAACAGAGGCAGGTTAAGGGCCCATATTGTTCTTGCAAAGAACCTGAGTTCAGTGCCCAGCTCACAGCCGCCTTTAACTGCAGCTCCAGCACACTGAATGCCATGGGATACGCCTGTAACCCCAGCTCTGAGGAGACAGAGACAGGAGGGTCCCTGGGGAACTAGCCAGCCTGACCAAACTGACAAGCTCCAGGTTCAGAGAGAGTTCAAAAATAAGGGGAAAGGTGATTGAAGAAGACACCTGACACATACACACACATTCACAAACATATGCATGCGTGTGTTCACACACACACACACACACACACACACGCGAGCGCATATTGTTTGTTCACTCTCTTGGCTCTTTGGCCTTTCCGAGGGGTCTGCCACCCAGCTCCCAAGGAAATCACACACGGAGGCTTAATCTTAGTTCTGATTATGTGGCTAGCCAGCTTTTCTCATCTCTGACCCACCTGCCTCTTTTCTGAGGGCCTCTACCTTTCCTACTTCTGTACATCTTACTCTTACTCCATGGACTGCTGTGTCGCTGGATGGACCACCCCTGGCTTCCTCCTCTCCTCGTTCTCTCCTTCCTCCTTTTTTGCCTGCCATTTATACTCGCTGCCTGCCAGCCCCAGCGGTGCTTGCTCCTGTCTTGCTATTGGCCGTCAGCTCTTTATGAGGACCATCAGGTGTTTCAGACAGGCACAGTGACGCAGCTTCACGGAGTTAAACAAACGCAGCATAAACAAAAGTCGCACCTTGAAATAGCATCCTGCCACACATACACAAACAGAAATACACACATTCGCGCATGTTCGTGCATGCAGACGCAAATCACACACACACACACACACACACACACACACACACGAAGCACCTCCTGTGGTTAGATGAGTGACTGGTACACTCTTCATTCATAACAACTTTGCACAGCTGGTGAGAAAATGGTCACAACTTGCTGAAATGTCACCGAGGGTAAATACGCCGGAAACAGGTGTCAGAAATCTGGACAGATTGAGCGGTTTGCATCCCTCGGGAGGCCTTGGCCTTCGCTGAGGATAAATAGGCGGCTAACGTTGTCTAAAGCCAAGAATCCAGTTGTCAAGACAGCGATTCTTCAGTGTTGTAGCTACCCATAATTTACCAGGCTCCTGTAAGCATCACCCATGTATACTCCCTAGCAACCCCACGTAACTCACTAATCCACAAAGCTAGCCGTAGGCAGAATTGTTTTTGTTGGGGGTGCCCTGTGGGCGGCTTGTCCACAGAACAGTATGATATAGAATTCAACCTCCATGCCCTACTGAATTTTCACTCAGAGAGAAATCGCTGTACTCTTCTCTTCCAAATGAATGCACGGGAACAGCGCTAGATCACGCCACTCAGCTCAACCTAAGATGCCCAAGCTGAGGTATCATTCAGTTTGGTGGGAAGCAGAGATCCCAGTGCTTGCGCCAAGCTACTGAGGCACCCGAAATGTGAGCAGGGAAAGCAGCTAGGGAGACGCGTCATCCTGCCATAGGCTGGTGTCAGCATTCTCTAGAGGAACAGAACTGACCGAATGCGTGCGTGCGTGCGTGCGTGCGTGTGTGTGTGTGCGTGTGTGGTGTATATGTAGGTTTATTAGAGTGGCTTACAGGCTGTGGTCCAAGTAGTTCAATAATGGCTGTCTCCCAATGGAAGGTCCAGGAAACCAGCAGTGGTTCAGTCCATAAGACTGGATGTCTCAGCTGCTCTTCAGTATGTGTGAGGATCCCTGTAGGGAGAGGCTTACCTGCAGCTTTAGCCCCGCCCATTGGAGTGTGGCTAACGTACATGAGGGAGAGGGGATAAATATATAGAGAGAGGGCTACCGGGCACTCTCTCCTGGGTTGCTGGCCCCGTTTCGGAGAGCCTCCTAGCTTCCCGTGTAAGTTATTTCTCTCTAGCTGAATACATACCCTACTGCCTTTCCCAGACATTCTTAGCGTGAGTCGTTGACCTTCCACAGATCCCAAAGAGAAGAAGTAGGTTCTAATGCCAGGGAAGTGAGAGCGAGGCCAGCAGGCCAAAAGCAAGCTTCTTTCTCCCCTGTCCTTTAGACTCCCAGGGAGCAGATTTAGTGTGGGTTTTCCCGCCTCAGCAGACCTAGGTTTAAGCTGGCTCTTCCTATCTCTAGTAATACGGACTAAGATGGTTTCTCCTCCATCCAGGGATCCAGTTAACTAAAACTCTCACAGGTGTGCCCAGCAACTTGGGTTTGCAACTAATTCTGATATAGCTGACAACCAAGACTGGCCATCACAGATGGTATACCACTGGACTCATGGAACTACACTGACTTCTAAATCTCCCCAACTTGTTTTGTTACCGCACCCACACAGTCCTTGTTTTAATAAGGACTTGGGCTTACTTTCTCTGGTCCAGATTTGACTGATGCCCCGATTAGTTGTTGCCCTGTGTTCAGAAGCATACACAGAGATTCATTTCACAGAATGAAACCTTAGCAGGCCAGAGACTGTCCTGTCCCTTAGGTGCGTCAGGGTGGTATCACCGCATAACATTTTAATTATGACTTGCTGCTCCTTGAAGTGATTCCCAAATTAACTCTAAGAGCTTCTTTTCAATGTCTGACCCTGTGCACCTATGTTCCTGTTCAGGAAATACAGCCTAAGCCCCTGGCCTGCACCTGGCCTGATCCACACCATAGCCATGGCAGCGGGGATCTCTATAGAGCCTGCTATCTGTATCCCAAATAGTTGCCCCAAATATTAACGTTGAAGAAAGAAAGCAGAAACGAGATACTCTGGTACCTTTAGGGTCCAGCTTGTTTGTTGTTTGTGATCAGAAAATGGTGATGGTAGATTTTAGTTCCCTGCAGATCTGGACGAGTGTAAAGAGAAGCTTTTTCTTTGAGAGAAGCCTTCTCGCCAGCCTGGTTCTAGAGCCACATCAGTCCCAAATAAACACAAAGGAGGCTATATTCATTATGAAGCTGGCTGTTGGCCTTGCTTGTTTCTTACTGGCTAGCTCTGACTTAAGTAATTACCCCATAATTGTTAATCTAAGTATGTCTCTTACGGGAGAAGTTTCCGGGCTTCCTACCCCATGGCATTACATCTCGACTCTCCTTGTGTTTTTCCTACCCAGAGTCCTTCTGGACTCCTAGTCCCTCCTATCTAGATTCCTATTGGCCAGCAGTGCTTTATTGACAAAGGACTTCCCCAACATCTCCTCCTTTCTGTTTAAACAAAAAGGTCTTAACTTTAACACAGTCAAATTGTATATAACAGAACAGTTATCAAGTAAGAATACAGTTACAATATTTTGTTAACATTTAACAAGATTTAAAGAAAATATCATCTATCTCATTCTTGTGAGTCCAAAGTCCTATATGTAGCTTATCTTTTATCATAACTAAAGAAAACTATAATTATCTCAAATATATTTCTGTATATCTAGAAAACCTAACTTACCTAACTATAAATTCTATTATAAGTAACTATCTATAGTCTGTATTCAATTATGCATTACAT